CCCGCTGTTCCAGCTGGGCGGGCCGCAGCTGCGCATCTTCCGCCCCAACTTCTTCATGCTGGCCGTGCGGCCGGGCGTGCCGCAGCCCGAGGACACCGTGCAGTTCCGCGTCTCCATGGAGTGAGTGCGGGCGCGGGGGGCGGCGGGGGAGCCGCCAGGGGCAGCGTTGCTGTCTGCCGTGTGAGCCGAGCGCGCTGTGGTTTCTGCATGCTCCTTTCTGAGGGCAGCGAGGGCGCTAATTTAATGACGAGCCTTGCAGGACTCCTCTTCCCGAGTGTAAGCGGGGCGCAGCCTTCCTTTGGATGGGCTTTGGAAGAAGGAAGTGCTTCTGAAGGTGATCTAGACGAAACGAGGTGATGTTCAGGTGTTTGTCAGGACTTTTTCCACCTGACCAGTCTGACCCCCAACATAAGAAGGATATGGAGCTGTTGGAGCCAGTCTAGGGAGGGCCACGAAATTAATAAAAGGTTTGGAGCACTTTCCCTATGAGGCCAGGCTGAGGAAGTTGGGGATGTTTGGCCTGGAGAAGGTTGTGGAGACCTCACAGCACCTTCCAGTGTCTCAAGGGGCCTACAGGGAAGCTGGAGAGGGACTCTCTTAGGAGCTGCAGTGATAGGACAAGGGGCAATGTGTACAAATTAAAAGAGGGGAAATTTAGGTTAGATATTAAGAAAAAGTTGTTTACTGTGAGAGAGGTGAGACACTGGCACAGGTTGCCCAGAGAGGTACTAGATGCCCCAAGGCTGGCACTGTTCAAAGCCAGGCTGGATAAAACCTTGAGCACCCTGGTCTACTGGGGAGCTGTCCCTGCCCATGGCAGAGGGTTGGGACTGACTAGATGATCTGTAGTGTCCATTCCAACCCTAAAATTCTATGATTCTATGATTGCACACACTAGATCCCACAAGCCTGCAGCATGTTCAGGTAAGGTCAGCAGCTATGACTCAGAAGATGAAGAAAGGGTTCTCACCTCAGGTAGTGAGAAGGCTTGCTGTACACAGAATATATTTGGCTTTTTGACTGTTGAGGCTACAGGGGATAAAGTATGTGTCAGTTGTTACAGTTTATGGATAATGAACCACTGTAGCAGTGTGTGGTTGGTCTATGCTGAGTTTATACTTTTGTGCAGTAAAGCTACCTTGGTTAAAAGAAGAAGATGTATTTATTCTAGAGGATCAACCAGTCTATAAATAATCTGATATTTAATGCCTTTGACTTATTTTATTTGCATATTTACACTTTTTTCTTTCTTTCCCCAAAATGTTCATGCATTGCCTAGAATGACAAAAGTGGATATCAGGAATTACCTTGAAAGAATATACAATGTGCCAGTAGCTGCTGTGAGGACCAGGATACAGTATGGTAAGTGCAGATGAATTATTCACAGGGATGACTACAGCGTCCCTGCACAGCCAGAGTACACTTCACCTATCAAAAGGTCGCTTAGATTTCAGCAAACTTTGGTTCCAGGTGCTTAGCTGGTGATGTCTGTCAGCTTAGTTGTTTATTTTTCCTTTCAAGTACCACTTCATATTTGAATGCTTGGATTAAATTATGATGTAAGTTTAGGTTTAAAAAGAAAAGCCTGGGTTTAAAGGGCCTTATCATCCTGGCAGTTACCTAGCTTGTGCTTTTGTAGTTGGTACTATTTCTCCTTGAAGACCAGTGGGTGTCTCCCTTAAGAAGGAACTACTTCATGTGTTTTAATACAATTAGTAATTACACTTAATTTCAGCCATAGCACTTGTTTAAAGAAATATGAGTTGAGATTACCTTGCATACACGCAGAGGAGGTGTTGTGCCTTAACAAAAGGCAAAGTTTTTAGAGCAAAGAAAAATATTTTGTTAGGCCAGTAGATAATGTCAGGAAAACATCTTGACAAACTTTCAGGTTTTTATCACCTGTTGTTAACCAGATTTCTGCTACAGAATTGAATCTTTCCACTTATGGAGTTCCAGTCTCCCCTAGAAACAACACCCAAAACCCCACCCAAACCCACCAAAGACCCAACAGAAAATCAATCCAAGATTAAAAAGAGAAAACGTTCCTAGTTTAATTTACGCTGAACTATGACTTGGAGCAGAGGGACCAATCTCTAACTGAAATAAGCTGAGGTTAGCTAATGTTACCTTTACGTATGAATGTATCCTTCTTCAGAGCTTCTCTGACTGCAGTTTGGATGCAGTGCAAAGCCAGGAATATATTCTTCATGTTAATTCACCTTTTTGATCACCAGGCAGTGCCATAATCAAATGGAGAGTGACTTGTTGGTCAGGATGTCTTTGACTTGGTTTTAACTTTTTCATGCTGTGACTCTAGCAGAGGAATTGAGTGATGTGTTTATAATGGTAAGATTAGGGATGATTTAAAAAAGAATAGGAAAAAAGAGCAGTAGTAAGGAACAATGGAGAATGAAATAAAAAGCTTCAAAATAAGGTTGTAAAAATCAGAATGTGTAAAGGAAGAAAAGTAAATGGAAATATCATCTGTAATATGCTTATGTGAAAAACAAAATTAAATGTAATCTTAAACACCAAACACATGCAGTTCCAAACAGCACTGAAAAATAGTCATGCTTGGCCTTATAACTGGTTTGTCCCTCACTGCTAATGGAAGTGATGGTAGAATGTATATAGTTAGGGATAAAGGAAGGTTAGAATGTGTAATAATTTGAGAGCTTAACATCTGCCTAATATGCAGGGAGGAAGTGGAATTTCCCACTCAGTTGTGACAGCATACTTGAGAAGGGTAAGACGCTTTGGTTGGTTTGGATGTGGAGTATAATTTCCTGGTGTATAAACAGTCGATCCAGCTCTTTAGCTGGGTAGTAAAAATTGTCAAGTTTGCATCTGTTTAGCGGTCATTTTCTCCTCTTCTTCCTGAAGCTGTTGATGTTGGGAGGACAGTTTACCACTCCTGTCCCCCTACTCATGAGTCTTACCTCCTTTGCAGACTTTGTGTGTGATGTGAAGGCACAGTGGCTGTCAGCAGGCTGCTGGTGCCTCAGTCCCTGCTTGTAAATGAGGAGAGTGGTGTCCACCAGTTTCAGGACACTTTAGTAACTGTGGAGCTGTGCTGTCACTGAAGAAAGAGTATTTGTCTAAACAACAAATCAGAACTAGTGAAGCCCTCTGTTCAGCTTGGCCTTGCTTTGGGGAGCTCGGAA